TCACACAAGCTTATCTCAAGCTTCCTTTCTCTACTCGCACATTTGATATGTCAATCTGAACACATTTGGCACATTTTAGTCACTTGATCTATTTTGACTAAAAACTCATTTTTACCACTTAGGACTATATTCATTTGTAAACTCTTTTCCATTTATTCATTCTAAGTCCATGACTACCCAATTACTACTTTACATCACCTCAACCGATCTTATTTCACACAAATTAGATTTTTGCCCTAACTTTCTCTCTCTAAAGGCTAAAATTGAGCTTACGGGTTTAAAGCTCTATTGTTCAACTCTAAACCAGTCACAAAGCTCTAAAATAACTGTCTAATATATTATTTACCTGTACCACCTATTTTGACACTATATTAGACGGGTCTTTGAACCGTCCAATATTTGTTTTATCAATATATGACGGTCCCACATTGGACGGTTCAATATAAGAAAAAATAACCATTCAATATTCCCTTTTTTAGTAGTAGTGGTAGGATTTTGAGAGGTTAAAATGTCTTGCCTCTATTCCTGACCTTTATAAAAGCTCTTATTGGCTTTTGTCAAGAAAACTCAAAATAATGTGGGGAATTAAAGGCCTTATTTAGCAATATAACATTTGACTTCGAGAGAGTCATTTTTCACTTTTAAGAAGTCTAAGGTTGTTTGGCTACAATTTTTTGCCCAAAATGAAATTTCTTGAAAGCACATTTAAATGCGTTTGGGTGTGGATTTTTGCCAACAAAAATATTTAAAATTGTTGGGATGTACATTTAAGTGTGGGAGAATGACAGTTAAATCCCAAGAAGATCAATTAACTCAATTAAGTTCCAATCAATTTCAAAATGCTAACAAAGTCTTTTGATCCGTTAGTGGTAATAAGTTTAACAAGGATTTGTAAATATTTGCAAATTTAGCTTCCAATTTTACAATTCCATTGTGATGCATTTGCTATTTATTTTTCAAATTTTAATAGAAAACCTAAATGTTCATCTTTAATATTGAGAAGTATTAAGTCTAATAGCTTTAGGAATTCACAAGTTTGGCTCTCTATTTTGCAATTTTGTTTTGTTGCATTTGTTCCTTATTTTCCTAATTTTATCAGGAAACACAAATGTTCATCTCTAATATTGAAAAATATTTAATCTAACAGATCTAGGGATTTACAAGTTAGGTTTCAAATTTTACAAATTCACTATGGTGAATTTGCAACTTGCTTTCTAAATTTTAATAGAGAATACAAATGTTCCTATTTAATGATAAAAAATATTAAGTCAATTATTTATTCTTTTCCTATTACTTATAAAACAAATATATCTCCATTTCTCCCTTGCCTATTGTTTAATTATTGTTCAGCCTTATAAAAATTTAGAAAATAAGTTGCAGATATATCACAACTATGATGCAAAATTGGGAGTTAAACTTGTAAATTTCTAGAGATGTTAAACTTATTATCACTAAAGGATCAAGAGAATTTGTTGGCACTCTAAAATTGATTGGGACATAAATTAATTCATTCTCTTAAAATTTAGCTATCATTCTCCTATTTAGGTAATGCAAGGCAAAGACAAAAGCAACCACATCAAACAATTTTGGCAGCTTGGAATTTTTATTTCTTTTTATTTAACCTATTAAATTGAAATTTAAATTAAATACTCCATATTTTAAAATAAAAATTCTCTGACAAGAAAACTTTTATTTTTTTTTATATATTTTTCAAAAATTCAATGTAAGACTTATTTATGTTTTCATTATCTCTTATTTATTATTACAAACAATCAACTACACCATTATTTTTTTATCACATATATTTTTCAAACATTTTGAATATATTACATTTGTCCTACAAGAATTATAAATTATGAAAGTCAATGTCATTTGTGATAATTTTACATTCAAAAGCATTTGTCATTGTATACAATCCATATAACTTACAGTTTATCAAACTAAATTTTAGAAGCAAAAAAGTATCTAAGCACAAATTTTATTACAATAATCGAATTTTACCAAACTTATTTTTATTAAATAAACTTTTGACAAATTAATTGACTTTTAATTAATAGAAACCAAACAGGCACTAAATCACACTAGAACTCAATATTAGGCACATTGTAAAATCAACCAAAGTAGATAACAAGAGAAAACTTGAGAGGGAGAGAGTGAATTCTTTCTTATGTTTTTTTCACTTATGTGTGGAACTTGCTCCCACATCTATGGTATGTTGGTTGTGCATGAGGGGTGGGAGGCAGTTTGTCATGATTCATCATTTTTCATGAGGTTGAGGAGTTCCGGAATGATTCAGAACCCTCCAAAAGGCTCCCGAACAACCTTAAGAGTGCTAAAGAGTGCAAGAACATTCTAGAGAAACCTACACAACTCTAGCCTCAATATTTTAATACTGGCCACTAGATATTTTCATGTAAATATCTAGATATTTGTTATAAATATCTAGGAGAGGATTCTAGAGAATCAATTGTAACCATATGATTGATTTAATCTCTACCATCCATTAAGGAGGTGGGAACTTTCTAGATCCAAGGGGGAGGTCTATAAATACCTCAACCTACCTCATTTGTAACCAACCCTTGAGTTCTCAAAGCAATACTACTCTCACATTCTCCAAGCTCTCTTTCAAGTATCCTTTGCCCTCAAGCTTTCCCTTTCCTCAACTTAGCCAATCATCCTCCTTTCATATAAGTTAGGCTTACTTAGCAACTTCCAATGAAGATTGTCTAAGTGCCGCACAGGTCGAGAGACTAGCCCCGTGACAAGTTGCTCCCTCCAATTCAAAAAAGGATAAATTAAATCCAAATGTCATGACTTTAGTCTCTTCATAAATAGACTCTTAAGTCGCCTCGAGTAAAAAATGGGCTTGGCCCAAATCTATTAAGGGTAGACTAAATCTATTAGATGATAAAAAAAAATCCTTTGAAATTTTAAGGGAAAATGATATAGGTCTTTGTAAAATCATATATAGGTCAAAGAGAGCTAAATTAGTATAATTTCTTCAAGCTATTTTATAGTCCCTTTTCCCTCCCCTCTATTCAAGTTGTTATCCCTCTCCCCCAACTCGTGCTAAATGCTAATGTTGTTGTTCCATCCGTTCAAGCCGTCATCCATGTCAAAGTTCTTCATGACTACTCGTGCTACTTCATCTTCCTACCATCATAGTCCCTTCGTCTTTGAAAACAATGGCTATTTCAAGCTTGTGATTCCCCATCTTCCTTTTTCACAAAAAAGCCTTTACCTAACTTTTTGAAATCACCAATCGCGATACTTGTTGAAGATGGATACGTTGTTGTTCCATTTCAACTCAAACTTCAATGTTGCCCCCTCCTTTGGAATATTTTTTTAATATAAGGCTAAAAAAAGCCGTGCATAGAAGGACAGAAATATTATCATGTCAAATTTTATGAGAATCTGTAACCTGAAGGTGGATGATTAAAAATAACAACATTTAAATTATTTTGGGAGGCCTAGCAAGCAAGCATGTCAGTGCATCTATTTGCTTCTCTGAATATGTAATTAAAGGTAACAATCCAATCTTTCATGACAAAATGTTTAATTTTCTTGATAGCTTCTAAAAAAAAGATGATTATTAGGGATATTGTATTGAATAAGTGAAAGAGCTTTCATGGAATCGGAACCTTTAAAATCATTTTTCAAATGAGAAAAATTTTGGGATTTACAAATTGCATGGTTATTTTTATCATGTTAGGTTTTTATCAATACTTTTTTAAAAATTAACATGCATATTTTATTAAATTCATAACAAATAGAGAAAACATTAATAAAATAAGAGTATAATTGTTTATATATAATTATTTTCTCTACCAAGGCGATGGCAATGAAATTTTCAGAGAAATCATGGAGAGGTTGTGGATTTTGTTCTTCGTGGAGGTGATATTATTTGTTGGTGATGAGGCTTGTGCTTTTGAATATAGCTGAAAAGAAAGAGGTTTGTATGTTAGATTTGGACTTCTAGCGGCAGGGAAGAGACGACAACCCATTAACGCCAAATCAGGCCAACAAGAAAGAGAAGGATGTTTTTGATTCTTTGCGATTTCTTGATTCCATTGTTATTTTGGTGGATTTCATTAGGTTTGATTGATTTACCCATTAATGCCCGAGGAGCTTTTTGCTTTTTCTGTGATTTCGTCAAATCTAATCGAAGTCGTTGTTGATTTGGGTAGAGGGGAGTTTTTTTTTAATAATTATTTTGGAGGGTCTTTTTGTATTTTCTCATCTTTGATGCATATATTAACTGAAAATTAAATTAGATTTCCATATTCATGTCAAACAAGTTTTTAACCCTCAAGTTAATGAGTAAATAAGATCATAACTTTTTGCTCAAAAATCACTATGAATTCTGAATTCTTAAAATATATAAAATAAATTTTAAATTTTTAAATTTATAGTAAAATAGATCATGACTGTCAACTTTTTTAACATCGTTACAGTCCACACGAGTACAGTAATAGTCAAGGTTATTTTTATAAAAAAATAAATCCTGAATCATACCTACATATGGTTTGTAAGAAAGTTAAAAAGTTAACGGTTAGTATTTATTTTATTATGAATATAAAAGTTTAAAATTTATTTTACGTATTTTAAGAGTTTAAAATTTAAGGTGATTTTCGAATAATAGTTTAAAATTTTTTTTATTCATTAACCCTTTCTATTTTTATATTTATATTCATATCTATTTTTATATCTATTTTTGTTTTTTTTAAAAGTTACTTTCATTATGTTAAATAAGGAAAAGTGAGCCCATCCCTTCTACTTTTCCATCCAAATAATAGGAGAAAAAATTTCATTAAAATATTCTCTCTCATTCTCTGCCTGTTTTTCCAACCAAACAAGATACAAATTATGCTTTGCTTGGTACCTTCGAGGTTAGAATTGCACCTTGTCTTTTTTGTTTTATGTATTTTTCCAAGAATTCTTTGAAGGACCTCTTAGCAATTAATCTATTTTGGTTACGGATTTGTGTATTTTCCTAAAAGCAAACAGTGCTCGAGTGACGAGACGCGACCATTGCACTACTGAACCATGCTCCTATTATTCGCTTCGTAGTAATGACGACACGGGGAACTCAAGATTCCCTCAGTTGTTCGGCTCAAGAACTAAACCGGAGTTTTAATTGGAATTTCAAACTTGGTTGACGATTTCCATTCCCTTTTCCATCGAACTCTAATCCAGAAAACGGATGAATGTTTTTTTTTTTTTTTGAGATTCTAGGGTTTTGGATTCTTTGGAGCTGAAGACGATGACTGATACCAACGGCAACAGCAGCGGCAATAACGACCACCACCACCACCACCACCACCACCATCAACAAGATCTCGGCCTGTACTTACTGGAGTTGTCTCGCCATGGCTCATCCCAAGTTCCGTGCGACATGGACGAGGACGAGGAGGCGCCGACGGAGCTCAACACCATAAACAGCTCTGGAGGCTATCTGGTAGTGTCCACAGATAAGCTCTCTATTAAGTACACCAGTGTGGACCTTCATGGCCATGACGTTGGTGTGATTCAAGCTAATAAACCTGCTCCGAAGAAGCGCCTCGTCTACTATTTCGAAATCTACGTCAAGGATGCTGGAACTAAGGGTCACGTGGCAATTGGGTTTACCAGTAAAGGCTTCAAGATGCGAAGACAACCAGGGTAAGGACTTTGTTTTTTCTTGTTTGTTGGGTAAACGTATTAAGACCGAATAGCAAATAATGTTACTTCTGGTTTGTCGAGTTGTGTTGAAAGATGCAAATCTTGGTACTCTCTCGATTTTTTTTTTTTGGGAAACGGAGCAATTTTCTAAAGAGAACAAGACTGAAGAAATGGGTGTAGTAGATCGACTAACTGTATAATCTAAAATCTTATTTCTTATTTTCTTCAGGAACTTCCTTTTCTTTTTTAAATACGGATACCTATGCCTATTTCATTAGATCTTGATGCGGAAAAATCATGTCTCTTGAAGTAACAAAGTTCTTTTGCACACCAATCTCATTATATTTCTTTCAATTAGTTATGTGTGCAAGAGAAATAGGATGGTGTATTTTTTGTACAACTTGAATGATGAAGCATGAATGTAATACTTTTCTTGTATCTAACTTTAAGGCTAAAGCATTACGTTTGGAATTTCATCAATTTGGTGACCATTTCATTATAATCTTCTGCATTCCGTGTGACATAAGATACAATATTCTGCATCTTCAAAATATGGATACTGAATGAAGAGTTTAATTCTTTCATGTGCTTTGCTATCAATTTTTTTAGTGTCTTTCTTCCATGCAAAATCAGATCAGTGGTCCATGAGTTATAAAATCTTACATGAGATGAATGTAGACAGTCTAGTTAGTTTGTCTTATCTTGATGCATCTGAGCATGAAATTCTTCAATTATTTTCATAAAGGCTTTACCTATCCCTTTCCTCTGCATGTTTTAGAGTGATATTTCTCTAAAATTAGGTGCATGGCTGATACTATAGCTCAGATGTGGAGCTGTCCTTTGGTACAAGTGTTATTGGATTCGTGTTACAATGGTATAAGTTTAATGACGCTGATTTTTTTGCTTTTTGGGCCAACATGACATTGCATTAGTTGGAGCTTATAGCTAGGTAATTTGGCTGAAAAATTATTTAGAGAAAAGAGGCAACAAAAGTATATTGCATTTTATGTGTCACTCAGTTGAGCAGTTAGTGAATGCTTAAACTTCAGATTATTCTTATTAATTTATTGATTAAATGGGTTAAGGTGCATTTTTATTCTTGAACTTTTCCTTGAGGATCAATTTTACCCCTGTATTGATAAGTGGGGCAATTTTACCTTTGAATTATTTTTTAGAGGAGTGCTAGGCACTTTGAAGAAGAGGTTTTTTGCTTCTCCAAAAAATAGTTTAGGGGTAAAATTGCGTCACTTATTAGTACATGAATAAAATTGCTCCTTGAGGAAAAGTTTAGGGGTAAATTGCACCTTAACCTATTAATAATTAATAATTCATAATAATTTAAATAATTAATTATTATGAGTATCATGGTTTGCCCCCTGGAATTTTCGGCTGTGACTGAATGTGTAGGTCTTGAGGATTTGGTTGTTACATACCTAGCCAGGTTGATGATAAATGGTTGCTTGTGATTTGGTAAAAGTTATCTTCAATTGGCTTTTCTCTGCACCTTTTCTTGTGGAAGGGTGATGTAAATCCATTAATGTTGCTCAAATTCGTGTGAAAACGGGAATTTCGAGTTTGAAACTAGCATGAAAAATTAGATTGAAGTTTTAAATCCATTCTTTGAAGCATTTTATTATATTTAAATGTTTTAACATAAATGTGGCTTTTAGTGTATCTTTTCCTCTGTTTGTGACGGTAGGTGGGAGCCCAATAGTTATGGATATCATGGGGATGATGGATTACTTTACCGTGGACCAGGGAAAAGTGAAACTTTTGGCCCAACATTTACGTCAGGTGATACAGTTGGTGGTGGAATTAACTATGCCACCCAAGAATTCTTTTTCACGTAAGATGTGCTTCATCCTGCTTTGTCCAATGCTTTAATGCTATATCTCCCTGATGATAGCAAGGCAGATAATGAGATTATTATGAGTTAAAAAAAAAAAAAAACCAGCAATTATTTTTCTGTTTTTGACTGCAGCAATAGTTTTTTATCTTTGTCTAACTTATAAAATTTTATCAAAGATATAAGCAGTAAAATCATTGAATGGAGTATATTTTAAATGTTTGTTCCATTTAGCTTATTAGCATTTTTGCCTTCTTGCTGAAACAGAAAGTTATTTGTCAATTTTTTTTTTTACTGTTTTGATGGCAGCAAAAATGGGCAAGTAGTAGGTACAGTTTACAAGGACTTGAAGGGTCCTCTTTTTCCAACCCTTGCTGTCCATAGCCAAAATGAAGAGTATGTTGTTGTGCTGCTCCCTTTGAATATTATTTATTTCTTGCATTAATTTTTTTAATTATCGTGCATATGCTTCCCCTCTGTGATAGTGGATTGTTGCGTTAACATCTTTCATCTGTTGAGACTTGAGAATGTTCAATTGATCACATTTTTAATGCTTAAATGGATATGTTATTCCAATATATGCATTAAGTTCTAATTTATACTTTTGAGCTTGGGGATCATTACTATAAGGAAATAATAAATGAAAAAGGTGACATGTGCATATAAGAGTTTTATTTGACATGTTCTGTAGTTGTGAAATAAATATTAATTTATCTGAGGACAATTGTGCCCCTTGCCTACATCTGCTGGAGGTACTTTCATTTAGTTCTTATTTTCCTTTTCTTTCGAGACATTGATATATCTCATTTGTTTGTATTTCTGGACCCTTGAATTACTGTCACTCGCTTTGCTTTTCTGATTCTTGTGGAGAACATTGTTGTAGCATAGTTTCACTATTTGAAAACTGGTTGGGGTGTTTAATTTTTACGAGTGTTTTGCTATATCTGACAGAGTGCATGTGAACTTTGGGCAGAAAGCATTTGCTTTTGATTTGAAGGTAAGAAGCTTTATCAATTCCATTTTTTCCTATTTAATTTTTGTTGTGTTTAACTGCATTCATCTTCTTACCTTGCAATAAGGCTTTTTAACCTTTTTTTATAATTTACTATGCCTATCACATCTGCAAACTTTACTCTCCTGTAATTTTCTTGCAGATTTTTTCACCCCTGGAACATAAGAAAATGGCTATTTCAATAATTGGAGATGTGGGAAATTGTGTGAATATGATAGAATTGTCCTTTCATTCGACACTTATGCTTGTGTTAACAGTTAATTGCTGTGAAATCAATCAGAACAGAAGTGTCTGCCATCACTGTCGTAGGCCACTATCGTTAACTTTGATTTTTCTTGTTTACTATACATAATTGGTAATATTTTGGTGTTAGTGTTAGTATTTAACAAAGATGAAGCTACCGTGTACGCTGTGCCTCCCAAGTTCTCCCTGCATGGATTGTTAGATGCACAAGTTGACTAAATGTACAAAGGCCCTCAAAGGGAGAGCAACTTTGCCACATCACTGATTATCTCCACAAAGCCAATTATTCTTCTGTGTTTTATTTCAAAAAACTATCAAAATTCAACTTGAAGTTATTAGATTTCTGTGTTTATATATTTGCTTATTTGCTAAATATTTCTATTATTGGATAAGGAATTTGAAGCTCAAGAAAGGATGAAGCAACAACTGAAAATAGAGGAAATACCTCTGCCACCAAATGTTAGTTATGGGTGAGATAATTACGCTGTAATATCTTTCTTGGAATATATTTGTATTACCATTACTTTTTATTCTTAGAGGAGTAAAGTTTATGGTTAATAGCTCTGTCCTTTTTGAAGAGATGACTTAATTTCACAGCTCATCCTTCCATTATCAAAATCTACATTGCCCTTCCCTGGGGGAAATGGAGAAAGAAAAAAAAAAAAAACTATAGCTAACCTCATTTTGCCCTCTCCTGAATTAAAAACAAAAACGATTGTTTAATAAATTTGATGGTTTATTGGTCAAAATGGATTTAGTTGGAAGTTGCTATTTGGCCTCAAGGGAGGCTGGCATTGTGGATTTTCCTAATTAAGGGGAAGGTCATGTAAATTGGCTGTCTCTGAGGTGAGGGGGAGGGTTTTTATCCTTTAAATTGATCTTTCTGGTTTTTGTAGAATTAATATATCTTCTCTTTTCAATTTTGCTTGATCTGATATATATATATATATATATATTTTGGTGGGTTTGTAATGAAAAGACCAATTGTCTTGCTGCTGATCACCTGGGTTAGCTCTCTTTCTAGGGTTTTCCCATGACCTTTTGATTCCAAAAGAGGACAAAAACTCTTGCTTGCTAATGATATCAGACAACTACTGGTCAGTGTTTTTTGTGGTTTTAAAAAGTTTAGTGCTCGAAGCTATAACCTTGAGTTTGAAAGGCTTGGTATGCTAGCAAAAATGAAGGTTAGAATCTGTTATGTTGTACAAATGAAAGTCTAATTGTCTGGTTAAGTACTTCTCAACTAGTTGTAAAGATGAAAAGGATGCTTAATTTTAGAAAAGTACTTCTGTTACTTTACAAGTGTGATTGAACAAGGTATATAGTTACTTTTTTCTCGGTAAGTTATATAGTTGCTTTTAAATGGCTTCATAATTTTTTTTTTGGGGGCTGTGGAATGGAAGATAAAACTGTTGATTTTCCTTTGAGCCCTTTAATTCTTCCTTGCTTAAAAATTTCCCTTGCTCACTTAGTTTAATTAACCCTTTAACTATTAGCAATTGAAATATCAATATAAAATCTATAGCAAGTCAAAATTTGTAAAAGCCTTGGATATTGTGTCTTATTTTGACAATTTGCTCATTGCATGGGACCCAATATTTAGTTTTAGTGTAAAACTCTAACTCTATGGATTTGATTGATGACAGAATCGAACTCTGATTGTATAATTTTTTATAAAAGTGTGTTTATAAAAAATTTATATTCTTATTGTACTTTTTTTTTTTTAAATTAAAGATGACATTAGAACTTTAAATAAAATTAACCATTCAACAACAACAACAACAACAACAAGCCTTAATGCATTTAATTATTTTTCCATCTAAACAATATTCATTTCAAATCCATGTCTAATTATTTCTTGTTTTAATTTTGTCATATGAAATGTATAAAGGTTTGGCAGACAGTAATAACTGTGATAGTAATGCTTTCCTGATTTGGCAAACTACCAATATTTTGTTCTCTACTCTTTTTTGGGAAAATCGTTAAAAAGAAGGAATTTTGAAATTAGCTGAAGTTGAAAGCATAGCAAACTTACTAAGGATTGTGGATAAAACTAGAAATTCTTGTTAGTTTTTATGGTTAAACTTATCTTTCATTGGAAGAAAGTTATTAACATCCCTATGTTATGGGTTTTATGAGGATGAAATATGGCATTACTCATAACAAATAATAATAATTTGTACTTGGCAGAAATCTAAGAAAAGAAGCAAAACAGTGAGATGTGGTAGCATTCTTAGTTTAGTTTTCCTTCTGTTACACCTTACAAGAATTCAGAATTTCCCTATTGGTTAAATTAAACATTTAATCACATATATTATGTCTCCAGGCTTAAAAAAGTATATTATGTCTCAATCTGCTTTCAACTCTGGTCCCTCTCTGATAGGTGCTCAAAATAACTAAAATAAGAATAACTCTATTAGGATGATATAGAACAAGAATCTTGTTCTATATTTCTCTTAATAGCCATGCTCAGGAGAATCTCCAAAGGGTTTAAAAGACTATTTTATTGATAAACTGATATGATAGCTTCTAAGTTGCTAGTCATATTTATAATGCTAAATACAATCTAAAATAATGGATAAAATCTAGATAACTAGATAACTAAATAATATCTCCTATAATCTAAAATAACTAAATAACTAAATAATATCTTCTATAATCTAAAATACTATAAATAATATCTAAATAGATAAATTACTAGATCTAAATAAAATCTAAAGAATAAAATCTGACTAAATAAAATACTAAATCTAAAGAAATATAAAATACTGAGCAAAATAAACAATGAAATCAATCTGAATTTATCTTTTGACGCTTTCTTCTTGAATAAGTCTTTATGGGAATATTATCTGGAATCTTATCACTCTCCCAGCCCCATTTCAAATGAGAAATTAGTAGATATAGAAATAAGAAGAAAGGTATGAAAGAAACTGTTGGCCTAATAATTTATGAGGAAGCCTTAGTCTTTGGTTAGAGAGAATTTAATTTTTTGCTGCTAAAGTTGCACTTTGTTCTTTTATAAAGGCTGAAGTCACCCATCACTCATTGGCCATTTCATCACTGATTTTTTGGGAAGTAATGCTATATAGTGAATAATGAATAAATCTATGTTTCCTGATTTCTGAGGTTCTCTTGTCACCAGAATTGTTCGTTCCTACCTTCTACACTATGGCTACGAAGATACACTGAATTCATTTGATGTGGCTAGTAGAAGTACTGTTCCTCCTGTTTATATAGCTCAAGAAAATGGAGTTGATGGGCAAGGTATAACATATGCTTTAAGTCACCGAAAGACTCTACGACAGGTATGGCGATATTTTGCACATTTTGTTGAGTGTTTGGCTGCTTTTGTGAGATTTTGGTTTGAACTTCTGTTGAAGTGCTTTTGCAATGAAGAGAAAGAACATGCTCCCTAATGAATGAAATGAAGTTTCAATAGTATTTTGTATTAGGACTCATGAGTCTTGCATGTATGTATGTTGATTGATCCATGTCCGTTCAGCTACAGCCTAACTAGGATGTATAGCAGAGAGAATAACGAGGATACATGAGATAAAGGGAGGCCCATTGAGAGGAATGATGAAGTTTCACAAGATGAGGTGTTCTTGCTTGACAAACTAGTTACACAGTGCCATGATTGGGAATATATGAGAAGCTTTTTAGATCAAAGGCAGGGTAAGGAAGAATTTGATGAGCCTGTAGCTACAGTAGTGTTAAAGGGCATATTTTGAGGAGCATAGAGAGAGTAGTATGCATGAAGGCTCAAGATTGTATTGCCCGCTGATGAGAGGGCTGAAGAGATAGAAAAAGGGAAACGTGTGATGTTAATTAACTGTTTCTATTTAGATGATTATATCCATGGCATTGATGTATGAAAGTCACTGGATCTGCTTGATACCATTGCCACTTTGCTGATGAGTTAGTATACTGCCAGGATGAGTGCGAACTCCAATAAACTATCATGTGATTTGATAAAAGGGAATTGCCAATGCACACGATCAGGGAATTGCATGCACAAGGAAATAAATAACAAAAGAAATAAAATTAAAAACTATAAGCAATCTTTGGTATTCTATCTTTTAATCTGTTGTAAATATTACAATTCGTGTATAATTTTCTGTAATTGAAGTCTGATATCTTGTCACATTATCTCCTAAGTTAATAGGAAAGTATGGGAAATGTATATTAGTGTTGTTATTGGTGATTATTTGTAAATTAGGGATTAAACCATTAGTAATAGCAAAGATGAGAATTGGAAAAGTCTAGGAAGTTTCCCTTTTTTTAATTTTAATTGCTTTTATATTATTCTAGGTTTTAATCATCCTTTTGTTATTTATAGTTACTTTTATTTCTTTTCCACGTCAGAAGTTATTTCTTGTGCTGTATACGAAGCCCTTGTGAATCATAATTGCACTAGGGCTATTTAAGGTTTTCAATTGGTTCTCAATAAAAGTTTCTGATTCTCCCTCAGGCCCCTGCTTCCACTCTTTATTTCTCACCATTATCTGCTTCGTTTTCCATCGTCTCCCTGCTTTTTCAGATTCTCGTTTCCTCTCTGTTACTTCTCTGTTTGTTATACATTTGTTAATCGAAGCTATGATATGGAAGAATAATGTCTCAATCACTCATATTAAACAGTGTTCAATGTCCTTTATCCTTATGAATACACGTGTCTGTAGCATTTCCCTTGATTTTGTTGCTAATTTACAATTTTAGTTTGTCTGATGTCTCTTCTCTTTTAATGAAGCTAATCAGAAACGGGGAGATTGATGCTGCCTTTAGTAAATTGCGTGAATGGTATCCACAGATTGTTGAGGTCGGTTGGCTTGGACACTGTTTGCTTACAATAGTATCTGTTTATATTCTGCTTCTGATCTAACCCTACAAATTTATTAAATAAAGTGCTATCTAGTCTGGTTGTGCTGGAGTATATGTGATTTCTAGTGCAAATTAAATGTACAAGTGATTCCATTAAAAGAGATTGTCCTTGGCCATTCTAGCTAACGTTGTTATATACTCGGTTTGTAGAACGAGTACTGCTTTGTTTACATTATTCACCACTATTCAATGGAAGTTATGATATGCTTCATTTTCGTGTCCATTGTTTGTCACTTTTTCTGTGTTTATGTTGTTTAAGGACTCATCAACTACACAAGAAGTCATATTTTCATCTCATCGATGAAAGAACTCATGGTTAGATGGAAGTTGACATCTGTACTTTCCTCTCTGCATAAATAGAGTTGAAAAAATCCAGCGCTCCTCGTTAAGTTGGGAAGTAAACAATCAATAAACCCAGCTTCGAGCTTAATTCATTGAAATTGTTCATTGTAGTGCTTTTGTTAATAAATCAAACATTGGAGTTTAATTCTTTGAAGTCGTTCTCTTACTAAATATGTCATTCACTGTACCCAAAAAAAAAAAAAAAAAGTCATTGAACGTCAGTACAAATTTCAACAGCATTTTGTTGACTTCTTCCCTTTTAAAAGAAGTGCCTCCCTCTCCCCAACCCAACCTCTTCCTCTCTTGTTTTATTTGATTAGAGTCAGGTGTTGGAGTTGTTGTATGTTTAGTAACCAACGCAAACAGACGCAAACAGTTCTTATATACTATTATTTTGCGTAGATCATGGACCAATAGTTAATTTCTTTCTACTCTCCTACTTTACTTCAGCAAATAATTCTCTTGGAGAGGGTAATAGTTATATGGTAGTGATATTTTCCCTTACCCCTAAAGAGTAGGATTAATTTTTAAGAGGAAATGGTATATTTTTTCAACAATTTTATTATAATAATCTATGCCAACACTTCAAGATCGCTTGTGAGTTTTCTACTTAACTAATTGATGCCTGCACACTAAAAGAGAATTATAGTATTGGCCTATTGGGTAATATTCACCTTTAAATACTGTCCCTTGATTTAAACTGGAGCAATTGCGGTTCTACTATGGAATAGGATTCTCTAATGGCACCCCATATTCTGCTTGGAGGTCATGCAAAGTAGTTCTCGCCTGTCTCAAGTGTCATGGAGTTAACTAGCCTATGGTGATGACTGTTGCACAGCAGTGTCTGGATTCTTTGTTGTTGGTGCATACTTTTGATGGGAATGAAGTGTCACACCCTTTTAACTTATCTAGTACATGTTAACCATTACACTGGTGATGGTGTGTCATTTTGGGAGCCTTGCTTTGACATATCTAATTAAAGTATGACTCCGTTATTATTATTATTATTTCTCGAGTGATCAGTTAATTTTGATTTTTGCAGGATAATACATCAGCTACGTGCTTTCTTCTTCATTGTCAAAAGTTTATTGAATTAGTTCGGGTATATTCTTTTTTATATTTACTTTGCTATATATAAAATTCTGTACTTGAAAACCTTTTATTGTGCTTAGTTTTGCAAGTCTAAATAGGTGACGTTTTATATTTCTGTATGTGACATATAGGTAGGAGCACTGGAGGAGGCTGTCAAATATGGAAGAATAGAATTGGCAAGATTTTTTGGGTTGCCTACTTTTGGAGATTTAGTTCAGGTGAATTTTCTCATTAGAATTGGAAACTATTTACTGCTGCACCTGCACTAATAATGGCTCCTATGATTCTAAATTTGTGAGGATCTTGTTAATGAGCTAATAAGAAATTGCTAACTTTTGGGTATTTGGCAGAGTCAAATTTTCTTCAGAAATTAAAGTTGTTTGCTTCTGTGAATATACCTTCTCTGCTTTTAAATTTTAGAGTTCATGCTTATAAAACATTTAATTGATAATCTTATTTGGCACCATTTGAACTCCTGCATTTCACTTTAATCTGTCTGAGAATGTCGAATTATTTGGTTACATTTGCACTGTTATACTTTGAGTTGACAATTACTTTGACTTCTAATTTCAATTTTTCCATTTGTGAATAAAGTTTTATATGCTTTGATAGATTTCATGTATATTGGTGGCCAATTTTAAGTTTTCCATCGGATTCTCTTTGGTTTTAGGATTGTGTCGCATTGCTCGCGTATGAACAACCACAGGAATCCACTGTAGGTTATCTTCTTCAGGACTCACAGCGGGAAGTTGTTGCTGATACGGTAAATGCAATGATCTTGTCCACAAATCCCAATGTGAAAGACTCAAAAAATTGCTTGCGCTCGAATCTCGAGAGGTTGCTCAGACAGCTCACTGCTTGTTGCTTAGAGAGACGGTCTTTGAACGGCGATCAAGGAGAAGCTTTTCAGCTGCAGAGACTGCTTAGCACCGGTAAAAATTGCTAGTGCCAGATCATCTCAATGTTGTCAATGATCATAGTTCTTAGAAGACAATGCCAGGTCATCAAATTGATCTATCTAGTCTCTTACAATGTTATCCTCCCCCAGCCCACCCGAAGAACGACCACCTGTTCCATATGCTCCATTACTTTGAAACCGGGAATTCTCTTTGTGCAAGCAAGCTTGTAGCCTCATCTTCATGATTTAATATAAATGATTAATTGAACTCTGTATGCGCTGTAGCCGCATCGTCAAACGTGTTTTTTTTTTTTTTAAATGAATTCTTGAACAACATCATGAACTTTTCGAGGTTAGATGAATTATGCAAATTACAAATCCAAGAAAAAGGGGAGAGTTACACCCAAGTCATCCCCATGGCTTTATGGGTTTTTTTTTCCCTTATTGTTGTGACCTTATGGTATTTAATTATGTTATGGGGATTTAAATGTAATTTTTCTTAGAAAACCGGACCTAGATATTTTTCGTCTGCACTAACGTATGCATGTGAGGAAGGTGTACTGTATTTCTAAACAATTCAATAGAGGAAAAATATTAGATCACCATTGATACCAGATTAAGAATATGTACAAGGAAATTTGAGTCGTACAGGATTAAAGAATGGTTTATGTGAAATTCATCAACTAACAATGTGTCAGTGGGGTCGTTTGATTTAAGATATCAAGATTTTTCTTAACTCCACAAGCATCACTTTTTTCCATACTTTTCTAAGAACAAATGTTTTTGTGGCGCTACTATGAGATTGATCTAGCAGACAACAACCAACATAACATCACCCATGAGTTCTATGATATTGGTTTTGCAATTTTGATAGCTGCAAATAAACTCACTCAAGCAAAATGAAATTTATCAATATCTTTCTGCTCTTTTGACATATTAATTACGGCACTGATATTTTTCTTGGAAAAAAAAATGAAAGGCGGATAGAGTTTAAGGAAATAAAAACAAATGGCCTGGTATATGAATCAAGTAACTAAAATATAAATTAAAAGCATACTTTTCTTTTGGAGACCAAATTGCCAAATCAAATTATGAGAAGTAGATTTTCAAAAAATCACCCTAATATTCTTTATAATAGTGCTAATGAGTTTGCTGCCTTCTTTTTCGTAAAACATCCATATGTACCCCATTCAAATCTAGAGTAAGGAAACAACAAGAAGCCTAACTCGTGTTGCTCTGGATATTTCCATCCATGGTTGCACGATCGAGCTCAATAGAAGAGGATGATCAACTGATGAGAAGCTCTAAAAAGATTAAAAATGCAGAGGGTGCTATAGGAGGTGGGATTCTACAGGATGATTGGCCAGTACTAGGAGCAGCTATAGCTTCTGGTCCAAGTAATAAGCCCTCCTTTGCAGAAAAGCTTAAAGGTGTTTGTATGGACGATGACCTCTCTGATGATGATATTGAAGATGTCGGTGGGGAGGATTCTGAGAATGTTGCTTCGCAAAACTCTGGATTCAAGGGGCTAACTAATGAGGAACCTGATTTCAAGACAGTAGAAGATCCAATGAGAAACTTTCCCACTTTTATTTTCTCTAACAGAGTGAAGAAAAGGCTCTATAAGGCTTGGAAGAGAGCAGTTATAGTGAAGTTACTGGGAAGGAGTATTGGCTTCAAAGCTCTAGAGGCTCTAGTCCAGTCTTTCTGGGCGAAGAAAGGGGTCATAAAGCTTATCAACATTGGTCATGGTTATTATGTTGTCAAGCTTACTAACAAAGAGGATTACTTTAATGCGCTTACAGGTGGACCATGGATGATATACGATCATTACTTAACAGTTAGACCATGGGAACCCAGATTTAAACCAGAAAGTGCAGCGATAGATAAGGTTGCTGTTTGGGTTCGGGTTCCCAGAGTTTTCTTGGAGTACTATGATATGGATGCGTTAACTTACATTGGCGACAGAATAGGAAAGACGATTAAAGTGGATATGAATACTTCTTGCCACTTAAGAGGACATTATGCTTGAATTTGTGTATTAGTGGAACTAGAAAAGCAGTTAATGTCAGGTTTTGTTTTAGATGGCGAAGAATATCATCTTGAGTATGAAGGCTTGCCTCTCTTATGTTCGAGCTGTGGAGTATATGGTCATAGACATGAAGTATGTCCTATGAAGAAAACTGGAAGTCAAGTTGAGTGTAATGGTGAATCCATGGAGCCAAATGTACAGAAGAAGGTTGATGGAGGAAACGACATAGGAGAGCAAGTGATAACTCAAGAGACATGGACAGTGGTATAGAAGCAAAGACGCTTAAGGAGAGGGAAGGAGAAACAAGGAGACAACGAGCAGTACAATGTGGCAGGTTCTAGGTTTGGTATTTTGGCTAAAGAGGATCACCAATTTCAGGTAAAAGAGAATAGGGTTTTGAATGAGACGGGAGCAAATGAGGAAACAGAGGAAGTGGTAGCCCTACAATGTAGAACGAAAAGAAGACAGGCCAAGGCGAAAAGGACAATGGCTGCAGAAAAGGATGTGTTCCAGGAATTAGGCGTAATTATAGGGGACACCAACGATCACATTTTAGCTGTACAAAAGCAAGAAAAGCAAAGAAGAGCAGAGAAAAGGACAAGGGATATGTTCGTGAACCACAAGAGGCAAAAAGACATGCTGATGATTACTATGGGTGACGGAGAGGATCATAAAGAGGATGAGGAAATGATTCAAGAGGGGGCCCACAAAGTGAATATTCATGTTGAGGAATTGGGTCAATTTATGCCAATTGATCTAGGTGAAAGATCCATACAAGAAAATGATCTAGGAGATAACCATTTTAGGCTAGAACTTGAAAGCCCAATGCAAACTGAGCCAGCGTCAAGTAAATTGAGTGGGGAGATTGTTGTGCCAGAAACCCAATGTTAGATTGGGCTTTCTGTGTTTGTTTGGGCTGACTCTATTTTTTTTTATTACGATTTTATGATTAATATGCTTTATTGGAATACCAGGGGATATTGTGGTAATGGACTCCTTAAGAATTTAAAGGAGGTCTTAAAGGGGCCAAAGCCCAACCTCATTGTCCTAGCTGATACACGCTGTGATGATGCATTGCGTCTTCAAAAAATCAAAAGCCTCGGTTTTGATATGATAAAGATAATCCCTAGTATTGGTCATTTAGGTGGTTTGGCAGTAGCTTGGAAGAGTGATGAGATTGATGTACAAATAATCGAAGCAGATCGCCAGTTTTTCCATATGCATTGCCTCCTAAAATGAGTTGCGATTTTTTTGGCAACAGCTGTTTATGCATTACCCCATTTGAATTTGAGAGAAGAGCTTTGGGCTCGATTAAAACTCCTTTCTACCACCATATTAGAACCATGGATTGTTTATGGTGATTTTAATGATATAACCTCACCAGTAGAGCGAATTGGAGGAAAGGCCGGAAACTCAAATAGGTACACTTGGTTTAGTGAAAGAATTGATGATTGCTCACTTTTGGATATGGGATCGTCAGGACCCAAATTCACCTGGAAGGGTCCTCGCATGCATGGGTGCTCACGATTGTATGAGAGATTGGATCGTGCTCTCGCCAACTCTTCTTTCATTTCAGAATTCTCTGATTGTGCTGTTAAGGTACTGCCACGGACTCTCTTCTCTGATCATAATCCAATTTCCATCAAGATACATGATACTCAAGCTCTTGGAAGAGGGAAAAGACCTTTTCGTTTTGAGGCTATGTGGTTATCTCATTATAATTTCAAAGAATTTTTACTAGACAGCTGGCATGTTGATGATAATTTAAACAAAAACTTGAATGATTTCAAGCATTCTCTTATGGTGTGGAATAAAGAGGTATTTGGTTTTGTTGAACAAAAGAAAAAGAATATTATGGCTAGGCTAAGAGGAATTCAAAATTCTACAGCTTATCCCTTTTCTAATTTTTTGGTGGATTTAGAATTTTCTCTTCAAAGGGAATTAGATGAAATTCTTAAATGGGAAGAAACTAAATGGTTCCAGAAAGCACGTACTGAATGGATAAATAGTGGTGATCGTAATACTAGGTATTATCATCTGAAAACCAAGATGAGAAGAAGGAGAAATAGAGTTGTAACTCTAAAAAATGATGTGGGTAGCTGGGTGGAAGATGAAACTGAACTCCGAGATTTAGTTGTCCAGTATTTTAAAGACATATATATCTCTGATTTTTGTGATGATGACTTTGAACTCACTACTAATGCCTCCTTTCCAGCTTTGGATCATTCTATTTTAGCGAACTTAGATGCGACTCCTTCTAAGGAGGAAGTTAGGAGGGCTCTTTTCTCTATAGGGCCATATAAAGCACCTGGATATGATGGTTTCTCACCCATTTTCTTTCAAGCTAATTGGGAAACAGTGGGGAATACACTGTGTAATTTTGTTATGGAAGCTTTTGATAATAAGATATCTTTAGATGAAGCTAACAAAACACTCATCTCTCTTATTCCTAAAAGAGACAAGCCTGAGTTGGTTGGTCATTTTCGTCCAATCTCCTTATGCATGGCTCATTACAAATGTGTTAGTAAAATTCTTACTCATAGGTTGAAAAGATGTATGGATAGCTTAATTTCTCCTTTTCAAGCAAGGTTTATACCGTGAAGACAAATTCAGGATAATATTATTGTGGGCCAAGAGATTTTACATACTATGAAGAAATCAAAAAGGAGAAAAGGCTTCTTTGTAATGAAGATAGATTTGGAGAAAGCTTATGATCGGATTAGATGGGATTTTCTTCACACAGTTCTTCGAGATGCAGGGATGAGCGATAAACTTATTCATTTACTTATGGATTGCGTTTCAACTGTTTCTTATAATGTTCTGTGGAATGGGTTAGAATCTGAATTTTTTGGTCCGCAAAGGGGACTTCGTCAAGGAGATCCCATCTCACCTTTTTTGTTTATGCTGTGCATGGATAGGTTTTCACATTTGATTACTAATGCTGTGGATTCCAACCAGTGGTGACCCATCTATGTTACAAAGCAAGGGCCTGCAGTGTCTCATCTTATGTTTGCAGATGATTTATTACTGTTTGGAGAGGCTAGTGAAACACAAGCTCAGATTGTGATTGATTGTCTGGATAAGTTTTGTAAGGCATCAGGAGAGAGAGTGAATAGATCCAAGTCATCTCTCTTCTTTTCCAAAAATATCCCTCCAGATCTCAAGGGCAGAATAAAAAGAATTATGGGGATAAAGATTTCTGCAGAAATTGGACATTATTTAGGTTTTCCTCTATCTATGGAACGAAAGTCAATGAACAAGTTTCAGTATATTGTGAATAAGGTTAAAAGCAAACTGGCAGCGTGGAAGTCCAACTGCTTAACTACTGTTGAAAGAGTTACTCTTGCAAAATCCGTGCTAAGCTCTATTCCATTATACCCGATGCAGGTCGCTAAGGTGCTAATAGCGATCTGTCATGAAATTGAAAAGCTTTAAAGAAACTTCATTTGGGGATATAATGGAAACTCTGGTTTTCATCCTCTAAGTTGGGAAAAAGTCTCTTTACTAAAGACTTATGGTGGTCTGGGTTTTAAAAAGCTTTCTTCTGTGAATAAGGCATGTGGTGTGAAACTCGCATGGAAGTTACTTGCAGGATCTAAAGGTTTGTGGGTTGAAGTTCTACAAAATAAATATATGTTCAGATCAGAAGAGAGTTTTCTGAATATTAAAATACAAGATTCACAGCTGTGGAAGTTCATCTGTCAGCAAAAGGATGTTATACAAGAGGGTACTAGGTGGCAAATAAGAAACGGCCAACAAGTTAGTTTTTTGAGGATGTTTGGCTTTTTCCTGATAAGAAAATTCAAGATTTTATTTTCAGACCTTTAACCGAGGAGGAAAAAAATACTTGTGTGGCTGATTGGGTTAAGTATGGGTATTGGGACTTGGCTCGAATATCAAAATTACTCCCTCGAGAGGTGACTCAGCGGCTCATTGCTATCCTTCCTCCGCTGCAAGGTGCTGGATGTGATATAATGGTTTGGAATGGGAATGCTAATGGAAATTTTACTCTTAAAAGTGCTTATTTCATGATAGAAAAATTAATTCCTGATTTGTATGATCCTGTTTTTAAGCTTATCTGGAAATGGAAGGGTGTGGAAAAAATTCACTTATTTATATGGATCTCTATTCATAATCGGCTTCCAACTAATTCATGGAGGAGTTCTTGGGCTGGTTGTTCGTCTTTATGCCAGTGGTGCCAAGATGCAAATGAAGATGTTATCCACATTCTAAGGGACTGTACTTATGCAAAGAGTATGTGGCGCAAGCTTTTCCCTAGAAGTTATTACTCTAATTTCTTTGCTGCTAATCTGAGTGACTGGTTTACTTTCAATCTTAAGTTGAAATTTGGCTCTAACTTTTCTTATAAGTGGAGCCTAATTTGGGGTATTGGTATTTGGAAGTTATAGCTGTGGAGGAATAATTTCATTTTTCAAAATTTGCAAAAACCTCCTGACCCAACTAGTATTATATTAAACTCATGGAATTATTTTACCATTCATGGAGAGGAGAATACAATGGATATTATTCATTCAAGTGACATTACTCAATTCAGGAAACCTCCACCTCATAGTTGGGTAAAGTTGAATGTTGATAGAGTTGTCTCTCAATCGACTAATAAGGCGGGTTGTGGGGGAATTTTGAGGGATCATAAAGGGGTGTAGATTGCTGGATTCTCTTCTCAAATTGGTAGCTGTAATCCTTTTGAGGCAGAAGAATGGGCTATGCTAAAGGGTCTCAAGTTTGTATGGGACATGGGATTCAAAGAGGTTATTTTAGAATCTGATTCTAAAGTACTTGTTCACTTTCTCCAAGAAGGAAATGAGGTGCGAAGCTCTTCTAGCTTGGTGTTGCTGCAAATTTCTAATTTGCTACTCTACAACTAGAAAGTGAAGATTAATTATGTGCCTCGCCATCAGAACTGTGTTGCGGATAAGTTGGCTAAAAGAGGAATAGACAAATCTGAGATTTTCGATCATGTTCCTTTTTTCCTAAAGGACATTGTGCATAGGGAGATTATGGGGGCCCAATCCCCAAACTCTGTTTAATTTGTTCTTGTAATTGGGCTTAGCCTCTCCTTTATCAAAAAAAAGTAAGGAGTTTCCTTTTTTAAGGAGCCATGGGTAACTAACAATCTTCAAAATGCTTCTCGATCATAACATGGACAAAAGACCATTTTTTCACATAAATTTTTTTAAGGAACGTTAGGCACTCTATATTGAAGGATGGGGTAATATCCCCCTAAATATTTTTTTAGTAGCATATATTGTGATAAAAAAACATTCTTACCTATTTTGGCCATTTGATGTGAACCAAAAGGGTTGGAAGTGGCAAAGATAATGGTAGGAAACAAGCCTAATTTTAGTAGTGAAACAACAATAGAATGGGTCAAATACAACTATTCCACGTCATTAGATAACATAAAAGATGATAGATCTTTGACGGAAGAACCATTTTGCTCTTAAAAAAATTATTTAGGGGGGATATTGCCCCACCTTTTAGTTCATGGTGCTCAATGCTCCTTAAAAATAAGTTTAGGGGTAAAAATTGTCTTTCACCAGTCAGAACATTGGAAAATACTTTTGGTTGGATCAATTGACACTTCAGGAGCATTCAAGGGTGGAGTATGAGGAACACTAAAGATGGGAGAAAGATTTAAAGGTTGAGTAGAAGCAAGTGGTATGGGTTGAGAGGAAGGAGAGGGTTTAAGATCAACATGTTTTAAGTGCTTTGATGGCTTGGCAACATGATGAGAAGGCATATGTTTCCTCTAGAAATATTTTGTAGTAGAAGAGGAATCAGTAATGGATTTAGAAGAAGGATGGGTTTGTTTTGTAGAAGGTGAGGGTGATTTTTATTTTTTAGGGGCCTTTGGAGATGAGGAATGTTTTGGTTTTTCAAGACATGATTTTTTGCGGTTCAAGTGAGGAAGATTTTTTATTTTTAAAAGGTTATGGCCTTGCAGGATGTGATTTGTTTTGTGGAGAGGATTGTTTGTTATGTGGAGAGAGGGTGTTTGAAGAAAGATGGGTTTGTTCTTTTACAGGTGAGGGTGACTTTTGTTTTTCAGAAATATTGGAGGTGAGGGAGAATGTGATTTCTTATATGAGGATTGTTTTTGTGGTTCAAGTGAGGAAGGTTTTGGAGTTTTAGAAGGTTGTGGCTATTCATGGTAAGATATATTTTGTGGAGAGGATTATTTGTTGTGTGTAGAGAGGGTGAAAGACTCTCCAATAGAGGGTGAAGAAGTGTTTTGCTTATGGTGTCATTGGTCAAGATTATGAAGAGAGGAATGATGAGAGGGTGACTCCTTGAAGGTTCTCCTTTCTCAAAAGGATTTTGGCATACATGTGTAGGAATTTTGAGGTGATCAACAATTGCTTGAATGTGATTGTTCACAGAATCATGTTTTTCATCAACGACATGAACATTTCTTCATGAGCAGAGCTTTTAGACATAATCTAATCCGTTTTGGCTTGTAGAATAAATATTTATTGGTAAATGAATTCTGGTGTCAAAGGTTGGGTAGGTTGGAAAGGTTGGGCATGGATTTGACTTTCAATTTGGTGTGAGGAGGAATGTTGTTGTACTTGTTAACAGCTATAAGGGAGAGATTGATCCTACTTGGCCTTCTTTTCCTTGGAGGCTCCATCCTCAGTTGCTTCATCACCTTTGATTGTCCTATCTGTCTCTACCCATTGCCATCTTTTTCAACTAGCTTCATTCTATATAGAGATATATTGTCAAACTTTGCTGGCTTTTTCAACTTATCATTTTTCTCTGTGTACTTTACATGAAATCTCCACATTAGACATGATATTGGCATAAGGGAGACTATAGTTATCCTTGTTGTGAGTGAACTATTCAGACTCTAGAAGATATGTTGTGATCTTGTGTGCTAGAGTTGCATAGTAGTTGGGAGAGCTATTTGCCAATAGCTGAATTTGCGTATAACAATAGTATCATTCCAGCATTTAAATGGCCTCATATGAAGCTTTATATGGAAGGAAATGTAAATTGCCATTATGTTAGACCGAACTGAGTGAGAGAAGCATAGTGAGACTAGATATTGTAGACCAGACCACTCAGAACATCGAGTTAATATGGCAGAAGTTATTAACAGCTCAAAGTAGGCAAAAGAGCTATGTCAATTGAAGAAGATCATTGGTGTTTTTAGTAGGCAATCACGTGTTTCTGAAAGTTACACCAATAATGGGAATTGAGAGATCAATTAGAGCCAAGAAATTGACTCCTAGATTCATTAGTCCATTTAAAGTCTTAGAGAGAATCGGGCTAGTTGCTTATCAAATTGCTTTACCTCTACAATTGTTTAGGATTCATAGTGTATTCCACGTGTCTCAACTCAAGAAGTATCAATCGGATCCTTCCTATGTGATTGAGCCTGAAGAGGTGGAGCTACAAGAGAATATGACCTATAGAGCAAAACTTGAGCGAATAGTGGATGTGAAGGATAATCAATTGAAAAACAAGACTATTCGATTGGTGAAAGTATTCTGGAAGGGTATGACTCTTGGTGATGCAACCTGGGAGATAGAAGCTAAGATGAGACAGCTATACCCTCATTTGTTCCCTTAGGTATATGCGAGTTAGTAGTTGTTTCAATTTTAGGGACAAAATTCTTAAAAGGAGGAGAAAACTATAACATCCTGAATTTCTAATCCTGCATTAATGACTGATTAGTGGACGAATTAGTGATTTAATGTGGGATTAGGGTTCTGAGTGGTAAAGTGTTATATTCACTCATTAAGACATTATGTGAACCAATATGAGTAGAAGAGCGAAGTCACAAAGCAGAGCGTGTAAGCATAGTGAGGATTTCCCTCATTATGCCACGCGTTATGGGGGGATAGATGTGCCGTGACGCATGGAGAAAAAATTAGATTAATAGGGACGTGTCTAGCTTATGGAAATAGAAGGGAGAACACGAGAGAAGAGCTCAGACGTGGAAAAGAGCAAGGGATGTGCTAGGGCAAGCATAATCAAGAGTAAGGACGGTGTTTCTGACCTGTTACTTATTGTGTAAGTCATGTACTGCCTTAACCTCTAAATCTACCCTATTTTTTCTTAGTTTTAACGAGTGAGAAATTGAATTCGAGAGTTTTATGGAGTTGATTTCTTGCCCTATAGTAATAAAAAGGTTCTTTAAAACTAAGCTAGTGCTTTGTGATTGGTTGGAGTCGAAATGATAAAGCTTGGAATGAGGGATAATCAATGGCAATATGCATAATTGAGTATGAAATGTGGAATTGATAGCGATTAAGTGTTTAAATGTGATAATTGACACTTTTGGTCAATAGAAGAATTGACTTGGAATGCTAATTTTGTGTAGATTCTAGTGTGTGACACATAAATTGTGAGAAAGGAGCTTGAATAGGGTTGAAGTTACATGCGTAACTCTTTTTATCGAACAGAAGAGTTGGGGTTGAGGTAATCATATAGTTTATTATGTTTATTAACTATTATAACTGTGTAGAAGTGAATACCAAATGATAAATTGTGAATTTATGAGTTTTATACATGATTGTTATTGAAATGGTTTTAGCATGGACTTTGAATTGTGAAATGAATTTGAAAAGTTATTGATTTCAATGATACATATATGATATGGAAGTATATATGTTGTGGAAATGTGTACAAGTAGTGAAAATTGTGAAATAGCATGATCATAAGGGGTGGGAGTTCGCCTAGGATATATAGGGGTGTGTGTGTGTAAAGATATGTGAGTGATAAAATTCATATGGTCAGGCTGGTACCATGGGACATTTGGTGCAGTATTATACGGGCTGTTATCATGAAAAACCAGTACAACATATTATGGGATTGTTACCATGGGACATTCGAATAGTCTAGCAACTCCCTAGTGCCGATAGGGTGAGGGGAGTCAACGACACCTCTATCACAAGTGTGTGAAGAGGGAAACCATAGTCTATAGGTGAGTTAGATTACCTTTGGCTGGGTATTTCTACCACCGAAAGTGTGCTCAGGTTGACAAGTGGTTGATCCAAAAAAGCCTATGATTTCATGTCGGGGAGCATTGGAGGTTTCGTAACTAGATAATCATGCTAGTGTGTATTTGTAGGGAGTTGTTTTGAAAAGATGATATTTCTTTATACTTTGATATATATATGTGTGTGTGTGTGTGTGATATTACTTTATTTTGTTACTTTAGCATGGTTATCTGTGGTAATAGACATTTAATGATCTATATTGGTTACTGAGATTTTTTATCTCACCTGTGGTTATTTACATTTTTCAGGCTTTGGTGCTAGTGGTTCGAAGGAAAAAGACATTAGCTGAGTTGAGATTGCTCGCTAAGCCTTTGTAAGAATTTAGTGTAATGAAATTATTGTTAGTAGCTGTAAGTATATATAAGTTGCCATAGGATTCAAACATGTACATATTGTGTTTTGTGATTTTGAGCTCCCTAGTCCTGGTATATGTGTGAATATGTGATATGTGAAGTGGTTGGGTGGTAATTTAGCTATGTATGAGATTAAAGAAGTGAAAATGTGATTTTGGCCCAAAGTGTGAAATGGGCAGTTTACAAGCCAAATGTTTGTATGTGTGATATATTGTGCATGTGTGTGGTCAAATTAGGTGTGTATTGTCCATTTGGACTTGGTTAAGGCCTAAAAAGTGGCTAATAACAATTGGTTTCAAATTGAGATACTTAAGTGGCAAAATTTTGGCAGAAAATGGTCAAAATGCACTTAGGTGTTCAATTTTTAATAGAGATATCAAATTGAGTTAAACCTAGTGTCATTAGTTAGATTTTGAAACAAGCTTCGTGTGGGCACTTAAACCATCCCAACCGAACATCATATGTGAAAATGGCACGCATTTGAATTTTGTATTAGAAATTGCCATTTGATAGCAAATTCAAGTGTGTGCACAGCAGCACAAGTACTCACATGTTGCAGCGTATGGCACATAATGAGTGACTGTGGCCTCTATGCCACATGCCACAGCACATGGTGCAAAATTGCACTTTGTTTACTTATATGCACATGTTTCTTTTGGTATTCAGTACTCGAATACTTGTTGCTTCCGCTGTGTATGTATTTGTGTGTTAGGGTTTATAACCCGAATGAGTTATGAAATGATATTTCTAAAAATATTTTATTGGGATCCTAATGCTTTCAATATTTACAACTTAAATGATTTCAAAGTAATTGGATTAATTGTAGTGGAGCGTATAGTAATGTCAATGAGCATTACACATATGATAACAATTTCTGTTGTCATAAACAGCTTAGAAGATGAACTTTTGTCATGCATCATTTCCACATCTATGGTCCGATCGGAGTGATTCAAGTGTCCACACAAAGCTTATAACATAATCTATCTAATGAGATAAGTTTGGACTCAATCCAATGGTCCAAACCAAAATTGAACACCCAAGGTTTAAAAAGTCACTTTTCTTTCAAAAACTTGCACCCTAGGTACTTGATTCTCATTTCTTGCATCATTAGACCACTCTAGGCCTTAAACCATGTCTAAAAGGACTATATACACCTGATTGACACTTTATATTACATATATCACATCATATACTCAAATTGACCTCTCAATACCACATTATATACTTGTAGACTTATATGAGACACAATTTGTATAACACATAAACAAATAGATTTGTTTCACTTTTAACCATTTGACCCTTATATATAAGGCTCTGCCACACTATATAGTTGGGAATCACAATATATTCGACTCTTTCAAATGGGGCTAAGTCTCACCATTTGTGTCAAGTTCTCACATATATACACAATTCACAATCAATTTCACATTCAACACATATATACAAGTGGAACAAGTTACATAATGACATACACTTGCTTGATTAGTATCTAGGCCTACCCACATACCCACTACTGAGACACCCTCAATGAGATGCAACATCGCATATAGACAAGTAAGTTTCCACAACACAATTCATATACACATTCATATCTTTCCTTTCACATACACTCATGCATCCTAGTTGGCAACTCAAACTTTAACAGTATATTATACATTCATTCCACTCAATGGTAGTCATACCACTACCAAATGAAGCTACTATTTCCTCTCTTCCTTTTCTGGTCTTCTTACAGCCTATTCACCTGTGCACAAAAGTAACAGAGTGAGACATACATCCCGATAACTCAAAGATAATCCCAATTACTGATTAGTAAGAAAAATCATAAATAAGAGATAAAGTAGTATGTTATTCAATAAAAATAGTATAGTATGCATATATAAGAATTCATTCTCATCAATTTTATCATGCTCATGCTAATACATTCCTGGTTCTACCTAGTAGAGGAATCTCTACCCTTAGACCAGGAATTTTAGTCACACAGAATAGGTTTCACAATACCTGTAACATCCCAAAAATTTTAAGACTCAAATTTATTTTAAAAAAATAAAATAAAATATCTATAATTAAATTAAAATTAAGAATAATTTGATAGAGATCTAGAGTTTGAATTTTACTAAGCAAAAGTTAGGTTTTATTTTATTTTTAACTATAGGAAAAATTACCAAAGTTGACCCAGGCTTTTGTGCTATAATAAAAAATGTTGGGCCCTTTATTGTAATTTTCTCTAAAGTCTTATATTAGCAATTTAAGAGGAAAAGAGAACGTAGAAAATAGAAATTGAAACAAGGAAAGAAATGCACGAACGTGAGAGAGGAAGAAGAGAAGAGAAAGAGAGGGAGTTAGGCTTGGATTTAGGAGGCTTTGCGACCGTTGCGAGCTCAGCTACACGATAGATAAACTCCCTACTTCAATCCTTTTCCCTTCCTCTTGATTTTCTTCAATTTTTGGAAGAAAAAATTTCTAAATTTTGATCCTAAGGGCTTTATTCTTGTAAGCTTTTGTTTCTTTAGATTCTAGGGAGGATGTTCTGAGTTTCTATAGTGATCTAATATTTTGAGTGGATAATTAGATGAAAAGAGGTGTTTTGGGCACAAATTAAACCCTGAAAGATTGGGTTTTTCTCCTCAATGGTTTAAGCTTATTGACTTAGTTATAATTTTGCTATTTGAGCCCAATAAGATTTAAATTAAGGTTTGGTTTTCATTATAAGGGCTAATGGTGAAAGTTGGTGACATTAAGTGAAGTTTTTTAATTGATAAAAAATTATATAAATTGAAAATTAGCCTAATGATGGCTAATAAATGGTTTTGGTGGTTAAGTGATACTATGTGAATGGTTGGTTTAATATATGGACCATTAGGATGGATTATGGCTCATTGACCCAAGTTGTGTGGTATGAGTTATAGTCTTCATTAATGCTATTTGACATGATAAGTAATGTGGATCACTTATATATTGTAGGGATTGTTGGTGGAATTTGTTTGGAAGTTAAGGAACAAGCCGAGACCTATTTTGTATAAGAGGAACTCTTTTGGTACCAAAGGATTGAGGTAACAGGAGAATTTATATTTCTTATTACTTTGTTTTAACTATTTTTGAATAAATATTACTAGCTATCATGCATTACATGTTTTAAAAGATTAAATGTGTTTTATAAGGGGTTATGGGGTACTACTTTGATTATAGTGTAAATATATTTTTTAATTGTTTA